CCCTATATTTTTCTTGCATAGATGAGGAACCGGATGCTTCGACACAGCCTCTTTCAGAGGCTGAAAAACACCTCTGCCACCAAGGCACGGAAACAATTTCAGAGGAATGTTCTTTGCCAGCACTCTCGCTGCTGCCACAACCGCTCCACAGAAGAAACCGTACATGGACGTCTGGGGGCTGCCACGCAGCGCCGGGATCCAGCTTCCTTTGCACCAGGTCACGCCAGAGCCAGGGCACACCAGGGATCCTGTCTCACCGACGCCGTCACTTCGGCCGTGGAGGTCAGGCTGACTCCTGTGTACAGCCCGTCTTGACCTGAATACTTAAGGTTGCTGCTTTCGGGACTGGTGCTCTCTCCTGGGCCCGACATCACTGATGAGCTCGCCTGGAGCAGGGGAAAGAGGAAAGAGAGATTTCATTGAGCAAAAAGGTCTTTACATGCACCAAGTGGCAGGTGGGAGTGTGGCAGGCTTGGGGCACAGCCACTATCCCAGCATTTGTGTGGAAATCCAGGTTTGCCCTCTGCTTGCCCCAGTGCCTTGAAATCCTGTAACTGAAAAAATGTCTTGGGGTCAGGCCGCTCGTTCAGCCCCAGTGACAGGAGTGATAACCACATTTGGAGAACAGCACGTGGGTATCCTTAAAGCAAGGTGAAGTGTGGGATGCGCAATGCGCAAAAACATCTGGAAATTGGACCCCCTAGAAGACACACTCTGTGTGTCCTGCTTCCCCTTAATGACACCGATGCCCACACCAAAAACATGATACAGGATTTGTGGCACTTATAATTTTACTTCCCCAGTGGGAGAAGCCTGACACATTCCAATTCTCCAGCAGTGGATATGGAGCACCTCCTGGAAATCAGCCTTGTTCAGGCCCCTCAGACCTTGAAATGCCTAAAATCCTTATTCACCCTTCTAAACACTAGCCACAACCACTTTGTCTCAGTAAGGCTAGCCCGTAAAGGAGATGCTCCTTTCGTCTCAAGTGGAGAAACACTACGCCTTCGAACCAGGAGCTTTTTTGTTCCACTACCTACAGGCACAAGACAACACGCAGGGGAGCCCCAGTAGGCACAAAGATGAACCTCTGAACTGCACTGGAACCATTCCATTTATTTTAACAGAGAAATGGAGAGTTACAAAGACAAAGAAACAATCATTTTTTCCATGAGGCTGAGCAGATCCACTAAAGAGGAAAAATTCACAGTGCCAGACAGAGAAGGGGCAACATTTTCACCTGATAAAGGAAATGTTTAAGAGCTGACTTCATGCAAAATTAACTCTTGGATATGTCAGCTCTAAAACCTTAATTTACTTGTTAATGGATAGTCTTCGGACAAGATTCCTTAAGAAGAAAAAAGAAAAAAAACCCTATCCTGAACTGTGATTGCAGAAGATTCCTGCCTGCTGTTTAAGTGAAAAGTATACGTATTTAATCATTTTACAAGAGTAGAGCTCTTGGCTCTCCTGGAGCCATGCCAAGCTAGCAGTCCTGACAGGAAAAGCAAGGCTTCACTTATTCAAAGGTAATTTCCAAACCGTGCTGTGCTTAACTCGGGGAAAACCTCACCTTCTGAAAGCAATACTCGTTGCCAGCGGTCACTTTCGTCTGAAATAACCCGGACTCTAATATTTTCTTCAGCTTTTATCAAAATGGTTGATCACCACTGTTATTCCACACAGACATCAGCCAGGACACTACTCGGTCTGTCACTACCCAGAAATGCAGAGATGGAAGGAACAACTGCTTGCCACAGAAAAACAGCCAAAAGAGCTCTAGTCCTAAGAAATATGTTTTATCGCTCTCTCAAATGCACAAGGGCCAATCAGCGACAACGAATCTCCGTCTCCTCTTTCCCGGTGACTATGCACAGAGATTTCAGTGAGGCAGGCTTCATGCTAACCTTTGGGTCCAGCTTTGGTCTTCCATCAGCTTAGATTTTCAAACAGGCCTTTTCTTATTTCTGATACATCAAATAGACTCCTGTTTGCACAAAAGACATCATTTTTAACAGCCTGAGTCTCCTCACAGTGGAATAAGTGTTTAAATTAGAGCTGACCAGTTTTTGCTCAACCTGAGATAAAAATACCAAGAGCTGTTTTGAAAGGTTCCCGTTTGCCCATATTTGCTGCTGTTGTTCCGGTAGGCAAATATCTTATCACTACCTGTTTTTTTCCGTGCTTGGAAAGTGTAATTCACCTTTTTCCTGATTCAGCCCTACAAAGGTGGGGCTCAGGGACCTGCAGTTTCCATGCGGGGTTATCAGCTACCCCTCCCTTGGGCACCCCAGAAGGGAGGACGCGGAGGCACGTCCTGTTTGAAGACTGCCCATCCCTGCCCGATCAAGGCTGGATCCTGGCTTCATTGAGCCGGGGCAGGCAGGACCTGGGCAGGACCGCCGGGCCTGGAAACCCCACCCTGGTAATGTCATGACAAATCCAGACAGCTCGGGCAGCTCCCAAACTGAGACATGGAAAACAAACTTTAGCTCATGAAAAGGACGCAGCTGAATCATGACTCTGCCTCCAAGCCTGCCTACCTCTGCTCTTACTTCTCAGTAAGAGAGAGGTACTTCCTTACTTTACTTTAAGGGATGAAAGATGACAGAAGCTACAGTTAGTTGCAAGAGGACGTTTGTCAGCTGGAACAAATAAGCTGAACAATGCTGCTGAAGTCAACCAGCTCTTCTAATTCGCAACAACTGGTTCTATCAATAAAAAGGTAATGGATTTATTGTTATTGCTGAAATATGATAATAGGATTGCTCAGCTTCCTGAGGAAAAAATGAATTAAGACCATTGGGAAGAGCTTGCCTCCCAAACAAAGAGAGGAAGGTTGTGTTTGTACCTGCAAAGATTCTCCATTTTACCCCAAACAGCAGGAGCTGGTCATGGGACAGCCCCCAGGCAGGCTGTCTGGATCAGAGGTGGCCTTTTTGTAGAGGACCTGCCCACCACACTCACAGGGAGACCTCAGCCAGAGACACAGAGGGACTTAGACACCTACACTTCCGGGCTCTGCCATTTCAGAAGGATGTGAAGGCCCTTGAATGTGTCCAGAGGAGGGCAACAAAGCTGGTGGAAGGGCTGGAAGGCATGTCCTATGGGAAGCAGATGAGGACTTTGGGCTTGTCTAGCTTGGAGAAAAGGAGGGTGAGGGGTGACCTCATGGCTCTCAATGGCTTCCCGAGGAGGGGACGTGGAGAGGGAGGTGCTGATCTCTTCTCCCTGGGATCCAGTGATAGGATGCATGGGAATGGTTCAAGGCTTCACCAGAGGAGGTTTAGACTGCACATTAGGAAGCATTTCTTTAACAAGAGGGTCTTCAAACACTGGAAGAGGCTTCCTAGAGGGGTGGTCAATGCCCCAAGCCTGTCAGTGTTTAAGAGGCATTTGGACAATGCCTTTAACAACATGCTTTACCTTAGTCAGTCCTGAACTGGTCAGGCAGTTGGACTAGATGATCGTTTCAACTGAAATTGTCTACTCTATTCTACATTCTACTGAAGCCTGCTGGCAACACCCTGGAGCCAAATTCTCCCCCAAAGCTGGCCCAGGTCAAAATCAGCCTGTGCTGGCCAGCACTTGGGAAACAGCACCCGTATCTCTGGCTGAAGGACTCCTGCTTTCTTCCACCCACTCCTTCCTGCACTGTCTGCCCACCACAGAGTGGGCAGAGGGGATGGACACACACACCCCCAGCCTCTCCCCATGACTCCACAGAAGAGAGCCAAAAGCTCCGAGCAAGGAGTTCTGCTAACAGCTGGAAAGGGTGGCGAGCGACCTTGATCTAGAGCTTTGCTCTATCAGATAGACCTTTGCTCCAACCACTTCACAGGTTCAAAACGCTTCATGGATTTTGGACATTACACTAAGTCTGCAGTAAGCTGAGCCTCAGCCGACACTCTCTTCCTTCTTCAGTTAACATAGTTCAGTGTTGCTGCGGCTAAATGATAACCGTAGTCAGCTGAAACACACTTGCAACAGCTTGTTTCACATACACAGTGCTGTGGCGAGCTGCAGCGGACTCCTTAATTTTCCAGCCTCAGCCTCCCGGCAACAACTGCCTTCCCCAGCAAGAGCACTTTCTCCCAGTACTGTCACTCCCTCGTTTCTGAGGAACAAGTCTCAGCACTGCAAAACTACAGCTTTTATTTTCCGATTTAGTGACCCTTTTACTACGCAAAGTTGTCATTTCTTGCTAGCCCAATTGATCCTTTTGTTTATATTGCAGACATGTAAGTTTACATATCTTCTAATCTCTCTTTTGTATTACAGCAACATAAATCTGTGGTTAATACTTCATTAATTTCCTGTGGGAGACAACTTCCAGTATGGCTTGGGAAAGCTGATGACCCCCACTGCTGTCGAGGGCCGTATGAGTAATTGGCTTTATTGCTTTGGCAATAAAACAAAACCAAGAAAAATATATGTGTCCATATGCATAGAGTAATTTTGGGTAGCACTAAAAATGCTCTTCTTCCTTGGTTATCCCCACTGAAACAGAAAAGCTGTAGTGCTTCATTCTGTTACATACAAAATGAAAAGCGTTCTTTCGGATACATGTACACGGAGCAAAGAAAATGAATGTATGAAGCTGAGTGGGGAGAAGAAAACAGCATCCTATTTTGTCCAGGAGTGACGTAGGAGACCGAGAGAATATTTAAATGGAGTATCAGATCCCCCAGCATAATGCCCTGGCTACCAGACTATTTGGTATTTTAGGTTGCCATGTTCCCCATGCCTCCTGTTGATCTTATTCCACCTGGTTTAGATAAATATTTACTCATACCAGGACTGAGGCACCGTGTTCCTATTTTCCAGGTGAAAGTCCTACCAACCATGCTGGGTGAACCTTTCTCATGGAAACTCTGTCCCGACAACTACAAAATTATTCTGTACCAACTGAAATCTTACAATCAGATAGTCTGAAGGACCTTCAGCCATTCAACTTTCTGATATCCAGGTGGTTAGGAGATTTTTTTTTTTTAAGAGGTTAGGTCTCTGTTTCATCCAGACTCTGGGAGATATGTACGGAAGCTGATTCCTCTACACCCTGCATTAATATCGTACCCATCTGCTGCATAAAAAGGAGCGCAGAACACTACCTCTAACCATCTCACAAACTGTCTTCTAAAAACAAGAGAAAGCAAATGCAGGAGAAACTGTTCAGATAACTCAGCCCAGGTTGTCAGGCATCTGGGAGACAGAACTGCATTTTCCTGCTAGCTCACCACCTGCCGGAGGCCATTTCGGTCAGCGCTCTCCCGTTCCAGCCTACAACAGTGAAGTGCCAGTCCTGAGCCACTTCTCAAGGTAAACCTCCAAGGGAAGTAAGCGCTAGTTTTACCTACAAGACAACTGTCCTCCGTTATTGCATGGTGTGTGATTACCGTCCTCCTGAGAAATCTCCAAACTGGAGGCAAAGAGTGCAGTAGAGTCTTCTGAAAGAAGAGCTCCCCTGGTGCTGCTGAGCCTTTACTGACATCAGCCCTGGCTCAAGGAGCCTCCATGTCCTGCCATAAAAAGCAGATTTTAGAGCAGTTTTCATACTGCTTTTTATCCTAATAAGGGAATAAAGTCCTTCTGGTAATCACACTCGTTGGACCCCTGCATGGAAACGGATGGGTGCAGACTGTGCCCTTCGTTTAGTAACTTACTGAGTAGCTTTTCTCTGTACAGTTGCGGCAGCATCAAAGGGACAGCAGGTATAGATGCAGATGCAGGCTGTCTGAAACCTTCACATCTTCTTTTTATGGGGATGTAATGCAACTTCATATATCATACAGCTGGACCTTTTCCATATTAGTAACACAGGACACCCAGTACTTACATTGCTTAGGAAAACAGAAATAGGCCTAAATCCTAGATCCAGATGTGAATTTGGCAAATAGTCCCTTTACAATGGGACAACAAAATATCTCCGATCCATACACTTCTACATTTTGGGATGTTTGAAATCAGTTTTGCACCCACAGCAATTCATTAATCACATCTTTTAAATGTTTAAACTTCAGCTAGAATGTAAAATCAACATTTAAGGTTCTTGCTAATTTGTCTCAAAATTGGCATCATATAAGATTCCCTTCATGAAACGGATGTCTCAAAGACATTTCCAAGAGTAATTGCTGCCCTTCTCTTTGTCTGCCCCTCCCCTCTTTATTTTACTTTAAAAGAGATAAAGAAAGGTAGGGTAAAAAGTGAATATTACTGACACAAAGGAATTCTGCTGAATTTCATTTCCATTAGATTTCTACATAACTGGGAACTCTTTTGGCAGACCCCCATAAAAGGCATAATAAATTGCTTTTGTACCAGTAGAGGAATTCATTTTCTCTGTTTCATTTAGCAACAACATCGCTGTGAATTTCAGACAACGGTTTCTAAAACGTCATCATATTTCTCTGCCTAATGTCAATTTGGCATTTTTCCCCACTTCACAGAATAAAAGCTGGAGAAGTAAAAACAGAGCAAAACAAAAACAAGTTGCCATGCTGGTTGTGTAACGCATGGGGAATGAGCCAGGTTTGCTCTTCCAGCAGGTGCCCGTGTTCCAGCAACCTCACCGGTGCCGCCAG